CAATCCTACCATTACGTAAAACAATTACAGGCTTTTGTTTTACACTCACTTGGCAGGACGGTAGTACCTCCCTGGGCGGTTGCTGTCTACCAACCTACTACCTAGGATTATTATTATTATTATTATTTTTTATTTTTTTTTTAACAAGTCGGCCGTCTCCCACCAAGGCAGGGTAATCCAAAAAGAAAGAAAATCCCCAAAAAGAAAATACTTTCACCATCATTCAACGCTTTCACCTCACTCACACATAATCACTGTTTTGCAGAGGTGCTCAGAACACAACAGTACTCACCTATTTGTGGTTGCAGGGGTCGAGTCACAGCTCCTGGCCCCGCCTCTTCGCTGATTGCTACTAGGTCCTCTCTCTCCCTGCCCCATGAGCTCTATCATACCTCGCCTTAAAACTATGTATGGTTCCTGCCTCCACTACATCACTTTCTAGGCTATTCCATGGCCTGACTACTCTATGACTGAAGAAATACTTCCTAACATCCCTTTGATTCATCTGAGTCTTCAACTTCCAATTGTGACCTCTTGTGTTGTGTCCCATTTTCTGGAACATCCCAAACTTTGTTCCACCTCGTCTATTCCGACAGTATTTTAAAATGTCGTTATCATGTCTCCCCTGACCCTCCTGTCCTCCAGTGTCGTCAGGGCCCATTTCCCTCAACCTTTCTTCATAGGACAATCCCCGTAGCTCTGGGGCTAGTCTTGTTGCAAACCTTTGCACTTTCTCTAATTCTTGACGTGCTTGACTAGGTGTGGATTCCAAACTGGTGCTGCATACTCCAGTAATGGGCCTGACGTAGATGGTATACAGAGTCTTAAACGAATCCTTACTGAGGTATCGGAACGCTATCCGTAGGTTTGCCAGGCGCCCGTATGCTGCAGCAGTTATCTGATTGATGTGCGCCTCAGGGATTATGCTCGGTGTTATACTCACCCCCAGATCTTTTTCCTTGAGTGAGGTTTGCAGTCTTGGCCATCTAAACTATATTGTGTCTGCGGTCTTCTTGCCCTTCCCCAATCTTTATGACTTTGCATTTGGCAGGGTTAAATTCAAGGAGCCAGTTGCTGGACCAGGCTTGTAGCCTGTCCAGGTCTCTTTGTAGTCCTGCCTGATCCTCATCCGATTTGATTCTTCTCATTAACTTCACATATCTGCAAACAAGGGACACTTCTGAGTCTATCCCTTCCGTTATGTCGTTCACATATACCAAGAACAGCACAGGTCCTAGGACTGACCCTGTGGAACCCCGCTTGTCACAGGCGCCCACTCTGACACCTCGTCGCATACCATGACTCGTTGTTGCCTCCCTGTCAGATATTCTCTGATCCATTGCAGTGCCTTTCCTGTTATGTGTGCCTGATCCTCTAGCTTTTGCAGATAACCTCTTGTGAGGAACTGTGTCGAAGGCCTTCTTGCAGTCCAAAAATATGCAGTCGATCCACCCCTCTCTCTCTTGTCTTACTTCTGTCACCTTGTCATAAAACTCTAGTAGGTTTGTGACACAGGATTTTCCTTCCCTGAAACCGTGCTGGTTGTGAAGATACACGACATATCCCTTCAAACTGCCAATATCCCCAACCCCTCCTTTAGAGTGCAGGCATTGTAATTCCCATTTCCAAGACTCAAGTCCAGCTATATAAAAATAACCGGTTTCCCTGAATCCCATCACTAAATATTACCCTGCTCACACTCCAACAGATCGTCAGGTCCCAAATACCATTCGTCTCCATTCACTCCTATCGAACACACTCACGCACGCCTGCTGGAAGTCCAAGCCCTTCTCCCACAAAACCTCCCTTACCCCTTCCTTCCAACCTTTTTGAGGACGACCCCTACCCCGCCTTCCTTTCCCTACAGATTTAGACGCTCTCCATGTCATTCTACTTTGATCCAATCTCTCTAAATGACCAAACCACCTTAACAACCCCTCTTCAGCTCTCTGACTAATACTTTTATTAACTCCACACCTTCTCCAAATTTACACACTCTGAATTTTCTGCATAATATTTCCCACCACACATTGCCCTTTGACGGGACACTCCACTGCCTCCAACCGCCCCCCTCGCTACTGCATTCACAACCCAAGCTTTACACCCATATAAGAGTGTTGGTATACTATACTTTCATACATTCCCTTCTTTGCCTCCATAAAATAATGTTTTTTTTTTGTCTCCACATATACCTCAATGCATCACTCGCCTTTTTTCCCTCATCAATTCTATGATTAACCTCATCCTTCTAATCCATCCCCCGACACGTCAACTCCCAAGTATCTGAAAACATTCACTTCTTCCATAGTCCTCCTCCCCAATTTGATATCCAATTTTTCTTTATTTAAATCATTTGATACCTCATCACCTTACTCTTTTCTATGTTCACTTTCAACTTTCACCTTTACACACACTCCCAAACTCATCCACTAACCTTTGCAATTTTTCTTTAGAATCTCCCATAAGCACAGTATCATCAGCAAAAAGCAACTGTGTCAATTACCTTTTTTGTATTTGATTCCCCATAATTTAATTTTCACCCCTCTCCCAAAACACCCTATCATTTACTTCTTTTACCACCCATCTATAAAAAATATTAAACAACCATGGTGACATTACACATCCCTGTCTAAGACATACTTTTACCGGGAAGTAGTCTCCCTCTCTTCTACACACCCTAACCTGAGCCTCACTATCCTCATAAAAACTCTTTACAACATTTAGTAACTTACCACCCATTCCATATACTTGCAACATCTGCCACATTGCTGCTCTATCCACTTTATCATATGCCTTTTCTAAATCCATAAATGCAATAAAAACTTCCCTACCTTTATCTAAATACTGTTCACATATATGCTTCAATGTAAACACTTGATCTACACATCCCCTACCCACTCTAAAACCTCCTTGTTCATCTGCAATCCTACATTCTGTCTTACCTCTAATTCTTTCAATTATAAACCCTATCATACACTTTTCCTGGTATACTCAGTAAACTTATTCCTCTATAATTTTTACAATCTCTTTTGTCCCCCTTCCCTTTATATAAAGGGACTATACATGCTCTCCACCAATCCCTAGGTACCTTCCCCTCTTTCATACATTTATTAAACAAAAACACCAACCACTCCAAAACTATATCTTCCCCTGATTTTAACATTTTTGTCATGATCCCAACAGTTCCAGCTGCTTTACCCCTTTCATTCTACATAATGCCTCATGCACCTCCCCCACACTCACATCCTGCTCTTCTTCACTCCTAAAAGATGGTATACCTCCCTGGCCAGTTCATGAAATTACCGCCTCCCTTTCTTCGTTGACATTTAAAAGTTCCTCAAAATATTCCCGCCATCTACCCAAAACCTCCACCTCCCCATCTGCTAACTCCCCTACTCTGTTATTAACTGACAAATTCATTCGTTCCCTAGGCTTTCTTAACTTGTTTAACTCACTTCTTATTTTCATTAAAATTTCTTGACAGTGCCCCTCCCACTCTATCATCTGCTCTCCTTTTGCACTCTCTCACCACTCTCTTATTATTATTATTATTATTATTACAATATAAATAATTTGTAATTTTTATTCACACAAAAAATATAAGATTTACTGTTGTGCCATATTGTAATAATTGTATAAATAATGTCAACCCATTCACGACTGCATATTAGAATGGACTCTTGAACATTGCCAAAACAATCGAACATTTCTGCTGTGTTGAGCTCAATTTCAAGGTACTTTTCATCGTGAAAGCAATCAAAATCATATCTATTTCTGTAATATATCTTCCATTTTATCAAATGAGACCAAAAAAACAAGAATACATCCATAAAAACCATATGAAAATACCGCTGAGGGGTGGCTAATTGCTGAGAAGTGAACTCCATTATTTATGCTTAGATTTCTTTCATTTTTGGTGTACATTAAGAAGCATCTTTCCATCATACATTGCCCAAGTTTCAATAAGATAGCCCAACAAACAAATGAGATACAATTCCCTAGATCAAGAGGAAGAGCCCCTCACCAGCATCAAGGAACCTGCCTTGAGATCTGCTCGCTTATGGAAATTTTGCTCGCGTATGGAAACAAAAAATCGACCCATCGATTGCTTGTATTTGGAAAAACTCACACGTGGATGTGCTCGCAAGTAGAGGTTCCACTGTATATGCTTTTAAACTGTTGTATCTGGGCACCACTGCAAAAACAGTGATTATGTATGAGTGAGGTGAAAGTGTTGAATGATGAAAGTATTTTCATTTTGGGGATTTTCTTTCTTTTGGGTCACCCTGCTTCGGTGGGAGACGGCTGACTTGTTGAAAAAAAAAATCTATAAATTGTGTGTTAAGTACTGTAAACCCTTGATATAATGAACTTTTAAAATTATGAGTGAAATCTAGTGTAAATTGTATTTTTCACTTATTTATTTTCAATGTTTATTGTAGTTTATCCATAAATTGTGCATTAAGTACACTGTATTATGTATACAGTAAAGTACTTCACTGCATTTTTTTTGTTAATTTTTAATGTTATTCTGATATAATATATTCGAGCACCTCTGTAAAAAACAGTGATTATGTGTGAGTGAGGTGAAAGTGTTGAATGATGATGAAAGTATTTTCTTTTTGGGGATTTTTCTCTTTTTTTGGGGTCACCCTGCCTTGGTGGAGACAGCCGACTTGTTAAAAAAAAAAATCGAAGGTTAACTGTAATATTTTATGTAAGTTTGTGTCTATGCATACCAGAACTGTAACTTCGAGGCAGCTGCTCCCTTTAGAATATAGGAGCAAAAAGCCTAACACAGAATTTTTTTTTTTTAAATACCAGCTGCCCCACCGAGGCAGGGTGACCTGAAAAAGAAGAAAACTGAAAAATTTATCTTCTTTTTACATTTAGTAATACAGAATATATATACCATATACATTACCATTAATTTTTATGTTTACCTGCATTAATGGAAGTTAATCCACCCAAATACATCGAAAGTCTCTTTCCTCCTGCAGAATTGAGTATGGCTAACTGTAGCAAGGTAGACAATCTTGGCTTTGGAGAGCTGAAGAAGGCCTGGGCTCTTAGCAGGCTGGATCTTTCTCGTACACGCATTGATTTCCACACACTACAGCTTCTGTTGCAACATGCAGGCCAACTTCGTCACCTAAGTCTTAGTACGTGCCCATCAAGTAGTACTTATTTTGTGATGCATGTAGATAGTTGTGAAAATGTTAATGCAGTATATATTCGGTATATACTGCATATACAATCATAATCTGTAGTGGGGGGAGTGATTGCCTTAGTGGGCATTCTAGGAAAGGATAGAGGGAGGGGGAGGAGGTTTTGTGTGCAAGGAGCTTGGACATACAGCAGGCATGTGTTGAGCATGTTAGATAGGAATGAGTGAAGACGAATGGTTTTTGAGACTTTATGAGCTGTTGGAGTGTTAACAGGGTAATATTTTATGAAAGGATTCAAGGAAACTGGTTAGCCGGACTTGAATCCTGGAGGTGGGAAGTACAATGCCTGCATGCTAAAGGAGGGATTTGAAATATTTGCTGTCTAGAGTGGACCTGGTCTTAGACCGGGCCACAGGGGCATTGACCCCCAAAACCCTCTCCGGGTAAACATCTAAACTGACTCACGAAATCGTAATGACACGATTGCAAACAAACCATACCCCGGCTAGGATAGAACCCGCGGTCATAGAGTCTCAAAACTCCAGCAGGTCTAGTGGCTAACGCGACGGGCTGGAGTTTTGAGACTCTATGACCGCGGGTTCAATCCTGGCCGGGGTATGGTTTGTAAACATCTAAACTGTTGTATCTGTACACTTCTGGCAAGACAGTGATGGTGTGAATGATGGTGAAAGTATTTCTTTTTTGGGTCACCCTGGCTCAGTGAGAGATGGCCAGTGTGTTAAAAAAAATAATAATTTTTGTCTGATCGTAAGTATAGTGGAGCCTCGGTATACGACCTTAATTCATTCCAGAAGGCTGTTCGAGTGCTGCTCCATTTGAGTATCAAACAAGTTCTTCCCAACCAATTTTCTGTTTGGTTGGCTGCTATCACTAATCATCATAGGCCCCATGGTTACTTATTTATACAAATAATACAAAAAAAAAAAATGCGAAGAAACATGAAATAGTTTACAGCGAAGTTCTGGCAGGTCGTATTTGTTTGGTCGAGTGCTGAGCTTTGTTCAAGTAGGGAGCTGGTTGTATACCGTGGTTTCATTGTATTCACATTTAAAATTCAGCTAAATTTAGAATCTAAATATTGTGCATTACACTATTTGAATTGGGAAGTACAGAGACTGCACTCTGAAGGAGTGATGGGAATGTTGCAATTTGGATGATCAGTTGAATTATGATTTCTTTGCACTATTAGCAAGACAGCTATTGAGTGAATGAATGATAGTGAATACATTTTCTCCTTTTCTTTTATAAGTCACCCTACTTTGGTGAGAGATGGCTGGCATGTTAATGAAATGGTCTCTGCTATTTTTTTTTTTTTTTTAATAAAAGTGAAGAATTCTGATTAAATTTTAAATGCATTTGCCTAGTGAACCAGTTAAGATTATTCATCTATGAAGTAGCAAATGAAAGGAGTGAGAGGGCAAGATGAAGGGAGCATAGGTGGGTGAATGGATGAGGACATGTGTGAGTAGGTGGGTGGATGAGTGAGTGACAGGGTGAGTGAGCAAGTGGCAGGGCAGGTGAGTAGGCAAGACAGACAGGGTGAAAGAATAAAAGTAGGTGAAGTCCCTATACAGAATGAAGTCAAAAAATGTACTTAAATATGGAAAGGTCATGGAGATGAGTACAGACTGGTACCTCTTGCACAAGAGGTCCAGTAATTATCTTGTCACATATAAAGGGGCCATAAGATTTCCTCTGTAAGTCAGAGATTATGACACAGTGGAATCACCTTATGTCTCTTGCTCTTTGCCTGGTCTCTGGCTTTTATATACGAGTAAGAAAAAGAGAACAAGAGTGGAGGTAAATGGGTGATAAACAGACAGGCAAGCAAGAGAGTGAGCCAGTGGGCTCACTCTCTTGCTTGCTTGCAGAGGAGCAGTATTTTTTATTTGTGCACACTCACTGCAGAGACCCATTCTCTCATATCTGTACCAAAATTTACTGAACACGGCATAATTGAGGGCACTAAGGTTAAGTCACTGATCTATGTAAAGGACACTGGTGGGAGACAGCAAAAGGGCTAAAGTGAACAATAACTGAAGGAAATTGCTTTATGGTGTATGAGTATAACATTTCTCAGTGGGGAAGTGGAACAGAATTCTTCCTTCATGAGCCATGCATGTTGTAAGAGGCAACTAAAATGCTGGGAGCAAGGGGCTAGTAACCCCTTCCCCTGTATATATTACTAAATTTGAAAAGAGAAACTTTTTTTTTGGGGGGGGGCACTCTGCTTCAGTGGGATACAGCCAGTTTGTTGAAAGAAGAAGAGTATAACATTACATGTTAAATGTTTTGGTTCCATACCATTACTCTCATGAGAGAAGAAATTTGGGTAACCGATATTGTTCTTGTAGGTAACTGTACCCAACTGGACATGGATGAAGTGGCTCTGACACTTGCAACATTCAGTCGTGGTTTGATATCATTATCTGCATGGAAGACTCGTGGAATCACTACAAGGGGTCTTCGTGCTCTCGCCTGCATACCAACACTCCAAGATCTGGATCTTGGCTGGGCGTAAGTTCACATTTAGGGTACTGTTGATCACATTTTATAATAAAATTGTATTAAGAGTTTAATTTAATCCAGAATATTTCCGTGTAGGCAGTTAAAGTTAAAGCTAAATCAATGGTATGGAGTAATAATCTCAAGTTCACTTACAATGTCTATGGGTAAATTAGTCATTCCATAAGAATGTTCCTTTGCTGTACAAGTGAAGAAAATAAAAAGGAAATCATAAGTTAACACCTGGTCACAGACCCGACTGTGGAGGCTTTGATTCCCAAAAACCTCTCCAGGTATTTTCTCACTGGCTAGTTTTAGCTGTATACTTGGAAATGAGGAATATTGGAGGTAGTAGAAAAGTCTTGTCAGGGGTAAGTGTGGTGTGAATGTTATGCAAAAAATAAGGAATGAAAAAATAAGTCTTCACAGCAGTTTAAAAGATATAAATGAGTGAAAGATTGGTTTTCTTAGATAGTACAGTCATGTAGAAATAATTTAACAAGGTAAGTCATTAAAGAGGGTGTATAAATCTAGGCTGAATTGGAAGTGTAGAGGGTATCTTGGAAAGAATTGGAAGAAGGGTGTGAAAGGATTGTTGAGGGGGTGAGACTTCAATATCCAGTTGGCTTATGTGTACATGTTACACTGGAGTGAAGGTAAATGTTCAGTAGGATTTAAAATACCATTATATTGTGAGAATGGTAATATAATGCCCATGAATGAGCACTAAGAAACCAGCTAATGAGATTTGTAGTTTAGAGGCTGGGAAGTGTAGTCAGTGCCTGTACTCTGAAAGTAAGAGTGACATCTAAGTGAGTACAAATAGGAAGCACGTCTGTCTCATGCTAGCAGACGGAGGATCAAGCCTCCCCCACATCTTGCACTGAATGACCCACATGCATTTAACTTTTTTTTTTTTTTTTTCAACAAACTGGCCATATCCCACCAAGGCAGGGTGGCCCAAAAAAGAAAAACGAAAGTTTGTCTTTTTAAATTTAGTAATTTATACAAGAGAAGGGGTTACTAGCCCCTTGCCTCCGGCATTTTAGTCGCCTCTTACAACACGCATGGCTTATGGAGGAAGAATTCTGTTCCACTTCCCCATGGAGCATTTAACTCTTAATTATTATATTTATGTATCTGAAAGTAGGATGGGAAGGTTGCAGTTCTGTGGGTCAACATCAGATCTTTACATTTATTCTTCCCTGGAAAGGCAGCTAGAGAATACGTTGTAATTCATGTCTTTTTCTCTAGGTCATCCAGCCTTGGTGGAAAAGGGTCAGTGAGTAATACTATTTTTATTTTGCTTTCAGGCTCTCGGGAGCAATAACAGAAGGATTAGGAGAGCTTGTAAGAGGATGTAAAGGCTTAAGAAGACTATATCTTACAGCCTTGAGAACATTAACTGATAATGATTTGCACCAGCTGACCACTCATGCAGGACAGTTAACTTGGTTAGACATAATGGGGACAAGAAATGTAACTCCAGAAGCTGTTCACAGGTAAGCTTTCAGTGTATGAAAGCATTTTTTTATGGTTTGCTATTTAAACTTTCAACTGTCATAATCTTTCATAGTACAGTGGAACCTTGGCTTACAAGTGTCCCAGTGTATGAGGTTTTTGAGATACGAGCTGTCACTCAGTCAGTTTTTGCTCTAAGTTATGAGCCAACATCCAAGTTATGAGCCAGCTCCCCCTGCTTCCCCCTCAACCCAAAACCTGCACACCTCACTTGTTTATCTATGATTTCATGCTTTAATTTCATGGAAATCAACCTCTTTTTCTTTTCAGCACTGTCCTTTGCACTTTCATAGGACCCATGCTTAGAAAAACGAAATTAGGCCAAATGACTGTAAAAAATGTAAGTAAAGCATGAGAGAAAAACTCCCACACCAAGGTAAACAGTGCACTGAGTTGGTGGCATTCTGAAGCTCTCATTATTTTTTATTATTATTGTTATTATTATTACCCAATACATATGTTATAACATATGTATTGGGTAGATGGAGGGAACATTTTGAGGAACTTTTAAAGGTCGATGAAGTAAGGAGGGCTGTAATTTCATGCATTGGCCAGGGAGGTATACCATCTTTTAAGAGTGAAGAAGAGCAGCATGTGAGTGTGGGAAGGTGCATGAGGCATTACTTAGAAAGAAAGTGGGTAAAGTAGCTGGAACTGATGGGATCATGACAGAAATGTTAAAAGCAGGGGTGGATATAGTGTTAGAGTGGTTGGTATTTTTGTTTAATAAATGTATGAAAGAGGGGAAGGTACCTAGGAATTGGCAGAGAGCATGTATAGTTCCTTTATATAAAGGGAAGGGGGACAAAAGAGATTGTAAAAATTATAGAGGAATTAGTTTACTGAGTATACCAGGAAAGTGTACGATAGGGTTATTATTGAAAGAATTAGAGGTAAGACAGAAAGTAGGATTGTGGATGGGCAAGGAGGTTTTAGAGTGGGTAGGGATGTGTAGATCAAGTGTTTACATTGAAGCATGTATGTGAACAGTATTTAGATAAGGGTAGGGAAGTTTTCATTGCATTTATGGATTTAGAAAAGGCATATGATAGAATGGATAGGGGAGCAATGTGGCAGATGTTGCAAGTATATGGAATAGGTGGTAAGTTACTAAATGCTGTAAAGAGTTTTTATGAGGATAGTGAGGCTCAGGTTAGGGTGTGTAGAAGAGAGGGAGACTACTTCCCGGTAAAAGTAGGTCTTAGACAAGGATGTGTAATATCACCATGGTTGTTTAATATGTATTTATAGATGAAGTTGTAAAAGAAGTAAATGCTAGGGTGTTCAGGAGAGGGGTGGGATTAAATTATGGGGAATCAAATACAAAATAGGAATTGACACAGTTACTTTTTGCTTATGATACTGTGCTAATGGGAGATTCTAAAGAAAAATTGCGAAGGTTAGTGGATGAGTTTGGGAGTGTGTGTAAAGGTAGAAAGTTGAAAGTGAACATAGAAAAGAGTAAGATAATGAGGGTATCAAATGATTTAGATAAAGAAAAATTGGATATCAGATTGGAGAGAAGGAGTATGGAAGAAGTAAATGTTTTCAGATATTTGGGATTTGACGTGTCAGCGGATGGATTTTTGAAGTAGGAGGTTAATTATAGAATTGATGAAGGAAAAAACATGAGTGGTGCATTGAGGTATATGTGACACAAAAATCGTTATCTATGGAGGCGAAGAAGGAAATGTATGAAAGTATAGTGGCACCAACACTTATATGGGTGTGAAGCTTGGGTTGTAAATGCTGCAGCGAGGAGATGTTTGGAGGCAGTGGAGATGTCATGTCTAAGGGCAATGTGTGGTGTAAATATTATGCAGAAAATTCAGAGTGTGGAAATTAGGAGAAGGTATGGAGTTAGTAACAGTATTACTCAGAGGGCTGAAGATGGGTTGTTGAGGTGGTTTGGTCATTTAGAGAGATTGGATCAAAGTAGAATGACATGGAGAGCATATATATCTGTAGGGAAAGGAAGGCAGGGTAGGGGTTGTCCTCAAAAAGGTTGGAGGTAGGGGGTAAAGGAGGTTTTATGGGCGAGGCGCTTGGACTTCCAGCAAACGTGCATGAGCGTATTAGATAGGAGTGAATGGAGACGAATGGTATTTGGGACCTGACGATCTGTTGGAGTGTGAGCAGGGTAATATTTAGTGAAGGGATTCAGGAAACCGGTTATTTTTTTATAGCCAGACTTCATTCCTGGAAATGGGAAGTACAATGCCTGCACTTTAAAGGAGTGGTTTGGGATATATATATATATATTTATAGATGGGGTTTAAAGGAAGTAAATGCTAGGTGTTCGTGAGAGGGGTGGGATTAAATTTTGGGGAATCAAATTCAAAATGGAATTGACAGTTACTTTTTGCTGATGATACTGTGCTTATGGGAGATTCTAAAGAAAAATTGCAAAGGTTAGTGGATGAGTTTGGGAATGTGTGTAAAGGTAGAAAGTTGAAAGTGAACATAGAAAAGAGTAAGGTGATGAGGGTATCAAATGATTTAGATAAAGAAAAATTGGATATCAAATTGGGGAGGAGGAGTATGGAAGAAGTGAATGTTTTCAGATACTTGGGAGTTTGACGTGTCGGTGGATGGATTTATGAAGGATGAGGTTAATCATAGAATTGATGAGGGAAAAAAGTGAGTGGTGCGTTGAGGTATATGTGGAGTCAAAAAAACGCTATCTAGGAGGCAAAGAATGGAATGTATGAAAGTATAGTAGTACCAACACTCTTATATGGGTGTAAAGCTTGGGTGGTAAATGCAGCAGCGAGGAGACGGTTGGAGGCAGTGGAGATGTCCTGTTTAAGAGCAATGTGTGGTGTAAATATTATGCAGAAAATTCGGAGTGTGGAAATTAGGAAAAGGTGTGGAGTTAATAAAAGTATTAGAGGGCAGAAGAGGGGTTGTTGAGGTGGTTTGGTCATTTAGAGAGAATGGATCAAAGTAGAATGACATGGAAAGCATATACAGTGGTCCCTCGTTTTTCGTAATTAATACGTTCCTGGAGGAGCTACTATAAACGAAATTTACGATTTGCGAATCAATTTTCCCCATAAGAAATAATGTAAATACAATTAATCCGTTCCTGACACTGTTACAAAAAACGCGATTCTAAAAGCTTAGAGATCTCCAGTGAATACTAGAAAGGACTGCCCTTCTAGCATCCAGCCTGTTACTGGGTTTTCGTAACAATTAGTCAGTATCCTTGTCCAGTTATCCATTAGAATTCAGTATGATTCAATAGTGCTTCAGGATTACAACTGTAGGCTACTAACTAGAGAAATTAAAATTTATAAATTTATTAAGTATAGTCTAGAGGTATATTATCAAATTAAATTAATCAATTCAAACAAATTAATAATAATAATAATCACTTCTCTCGGGTACAATATTATTGTGCTGAAAGCACATATCACATTTATAATTCTTAGTACCGTCTGGTACTTTAACATTTAATAAGATATTATAAATATGTACAAGTAAGTTTGTGTAGGTCTGTAAGTGCTCTAAGTAGTTCGCTGTGTCTCAAGACTCGACTAGACTTAAACAAGTGACTGACAAAGTCCTCAAATAAACTAACTTCTTGACCAACTGGCAATCAGAACAGCCTGCTTGAACAACAAAAAGAATGCTAAGCCCAATAGCAATATAACAAGCAACTGCAACACAGAATCAGGAACAAGGAGATAATATAACGACACTAAGTAGGGACCATCAGCAGATCCTCCACAAAGTCACAAAACTCCCATACTACTGAATCTAAGTTCAGCATAAGAAAATCCCCGACTGTGATAATACACAGATACCAGTACAAGTTAGGTCAGAAGCTACAGCTCAGGACCTGAGTTACTCAGAGTGTCTATGAGACACACAACCTCAGTACAACGTCGAAAATCACTAAGTCTATACAATGTTCTGTGAACAGAGTTCTACAGAACTACCAAGAATAATGAGACAGACAATCTGTCCAACCACCAAGAGAGTCTAGACCAGACTGAATACTTCAGGCGAGGTGAGGACACCCCCCCCTTCGGTCACGTGATAGCTCCGTGGACAGTACTGCCCAGCAACAGAAGCCGGCAGAATAACGAGCAAAGAGCGATAATTACAGTAGTTAGACAATCAAGACTTGAACTGAGCACATATGTTACATCCTAACCTCACAAAATTTAGCTAAGTCAAATAATAATAATATAAAGCAATATATTTACGATTTAGCTATTATCGCAAATTCAAGCAATATAAAATTATATGAAAAAGTGATAATTATATATATACATTGTATTCATAATCATAATATACATTGTAACCCATTCAGGGGTTGCAACAGACACCAAGAAGTATTAAAACAAAAAAAAAAATTTCATGAAATATACATATAGTACATAAACAATACAATGGGAAATGATGAATGAAACATTAACAGCATAACACTTACCTTTATTAGAGATTCTTCTTAGTGTATGGGAGACTGGAGGAGGAGAGAGATGGGATTGTTTACAGTTTGGAAGGGGAATCCCCTTCCAGCAATACCTCAGGTACCAATTGCTTCTCTGGGGTTGCTTCTCTTCTCTGTTTCTTAATGCCACTAGGACCACCTTGAGAGTCACTCTAGTCCTGTCTCGCAAAGTAACTTTGTCACTGTACATATTTCTCACCTTCTTTACCACAGGCTTGGCACTAGGAGCTTTCTTTTGGGGCCATGGTAGCTTATTTAGTAATTGCAAGCACTAAAATGAGTGGAATATTATGAAATATTTCGTAGGAGCACTTGAGGGGACCTTCACTCACTGGTAAACAATGCCAGACTGGCTGGGTAGGGAGGCCGCCCCGGCTCACACCGTGCGTACGCGTCCCAGACGAACTACTATTCGCGAGTCAACCTATGAAAAGCGAGTCCATGTTTATACGAAAATACCCCTATGATTGGCAAAATTTACGATTGCCGAGAACTACGAAAAGCGAGGGACCACTGTAAATCTATAGGGGAAGGAAGGCAGGGTAGGGGTCGTCCTCGAAAGGGTTGGAGAGAGGGGGTAAAGGAGGTTTTGTGGGCGAGAGGCTTGGACTTCCAGCAAGCGTGCGTGAGCGTGTTAGATAGGAGTGAATGGAGACGAATGGTACTTGGGACCTGACGATCTGTTGGAGTGTGAGCAGGGTAATATTTAGTGAAGGGATTCAGGGAAACCGGTTATTTTCATATAGTCGGACTTGAGTCCTGGAAATGGGAAATACAATGCCTGCACTTTAAAGGAGTGGTTTGGGATATTGGCAGTTTGGAGGGATATGTTGTGTATCTTTATATGTATATGCTTCTAAACTGTTGTATTCTGAGCACCTCTGCAAAAACAGTGATAATGTGTGAAAGTGTTGAATGATGATGAAAGTATTTTCTTTTTGGGGATTTTCTTTCTTTTTTGGGTCACCCTGCCTCGGTGGGAGACGGCCGACTTGTTGGAAAAAAAAAAAATTGTCCTGCCGCTGGGACGGATTAATGGCATTTCAATTAATTTAAATGAGGAAAATTGATTTGATATATGTACGAGCAAATTGAGTTACGAGCTAGGTCACGGAATGGATTAAACTTGTAAGTCAAGGTTTCACTGTATGTGTAAAATAAGATTTGACTTGTTATGGTGCTTGCATCAGGATGCTCATTGTTCTTTCCACATCAAAATCACAGCAACTAATGCAAAACAGCACACCTGACTTTCATTGATTTCATCTGGATGCTGTTTGCTCCTTCCATAACAAAGCCAAAAACAGATTATTTACAATGTATCAGCCTGATGATGCAGAATTGTTTACAATATATCAGCTTGATAATGCAGGCTTGTTTACAGTATATCAGCCTGATGATGCAGGCTTGTTTACAATATATCAGCCTGATGATACAGACTACAGTGGATTTAAACTAAGGAATGCTACAAATTATCACCAACATTTTTATTTATTCTAGAAAAGCACATTCAGAGAAGGGTAGTCTTACTTCAGTATCTCTATTGTAAAAGTTTGATATTACTGTAGTTACATACTGTATATAGACCCCTAAGCATTTTTGGTAATGCTCTTAAAAGTTTACCTTGAACAAGCTAAAGTGAATACCTAACAGTAGTAAGTGCACGCATAAACGTTATACTTGTAGCTAACTATTATGAAAAAGTGATGGATTTCTTAAAAATAATTCCTATACCAGGCCTCGTACATGTTTATTTGTGCTCAGAAAACATCCAAGAAGGGTCTGCTTTCCATACAAAATAACAGAAATAAAATCCTTTTCAAAAAATCTCCCATAAAGTTTCTGGGATCAAATGTTCTTTCTGCAGGTTTTAACTGTTAGAAATGCATGTGCATTTTTCATTGTTTTATTCTAGCCTTTTTTTTATAGAATTATTGTGAAAAGCTATAACTAATAGAAAATGCTAGGAGCTATTTTTAGTTTTGTGTAAAAAGCTAATTCTCTTATCATTTAGTGTCCTTTCATGAAACTTGTACATTTTAACTGGTGTTTTTGTAATAGGAAAAGTAAACAATGTTTGAAGATACTATAAATCAGTTAGCTTAATCATCAGTGAAATAATTTGCACGGTAAGTAAAGATCTCCAAACTTTGGATCATCCTCTTGTATGTTATTTACAGATTGCTTCAAAGCTGTCAAAATCTTGAGCTGTTGGATGTGGGTTTTTGTGAGCAGATCCATTCCACTTTTGTACATGAGTGGGCACTTCAGTTTCCCAAAGTTTCCATCAAGGGAGGACTTCGGCATCAAGTTCGCATTGTCTAGTGTCTTATATGGCAGCTTGGTGTATACAGTATTTATTTTTCTTGGACACCTAATAAACAAAAGATAAGAAGACTGTAGTTCCTGTAAACACAAGCATGGCAGCATCTGTGGTTAACATTTTCTTTGCTATAGTTACTTTTCTCCAGTAACTTAGTTAATAATGTAAAGCAGCACTTTATTTTAAATATGTTTTTTGGG